CACCATCATCATCACCACCATCACCATCATCATCTCCATCACCACCATCACCACCACCATCACCATCACCATCATCATCATCATCACCACTATCACCACCATCACCACCACCATCACCATCATCACCACCACCATCATCATCATCACCACCATCACCACCATCACCACCAACATCACCATCACCACCATCACCACCATCATCATCACCACCATCACCACCATCATCATCACCACCATCACCACCATCACCACCACCATCACCACCATCACCACCATCACCACCATCATCATCTCCATCACCACCACCACTACTATCACCTCTATCACCATCACCACCACCACTAACATCATCATCATCACCATCATCATCTCCATCACCATCATCCACACCATCATCATCTCCATCATCACCACCATCATCACCATCGCCACCACCACTAACATCATCATCATCACCATCACCACTACTGTCATCCTCATCACCACCACCCCTATGGTCATCGTCATCATCTCCATCACCCCCACCACTACTGTCACCTCCATCACCATCACTGCCCCCCAACCTCCAAACTAGACAAGTGGGAGAGATGGAGCACTCCCCTTAGTGGGGTGTTTTTAGAACCAAGGACATCTTGGGAGTCTCTGGAGGGTTTGAAAAACAAAGCTCCTCCGGTCTTATGGCCCACGTGCTTCTCCCTGTTCCTGCGGGTTCTGGCCCAGCCCCTGCAGAAGGCTGCCTGCGCTCTGGTCTCTGCTCATGCTTTGTTTCTGGGGCCTCTGTTGTTCTTTCTTGTTTGAGGGGTGACTGAGTTTGCAGGATGTGCCTGGTGTGTGTGGGGTGTTGTTACACAACCGAATGCCTTGGCGACTTGTAAAACTGCCACAAGCCAATGTGTCTGTGGGCACATCTGCTGGAGCCCTTCTATGATATCTACCCAGAAAGGCTCACTCTAGGCTGGTTCTGAGAGGGTACATGCCAAGAGCACCCCCAGGAACAGCCTAGCCCCTGCCCTGGGCACCAGTATGGCCTTTGTGCCGGAGCCCAGGCTGGGATCAGTCCCTGCCTGGATTCTGAATCCTTTACATGGGAAAGCTGGCATGCAGCATGGTGACATGCTAAGTGTGGAATCCAACCCCAAAGCCACACTTACTGAAATCTGAGCATGTCCTCTCCCTCCCAGAAGTCAAGGGCAGGAAGTGTATCTTACAGAGTTGGCTCAAGCTCTGGAGCTGGACACACCTGGCTGAACCTGGCTCTCACTGACAGCATGAGATCCCCTCAGCGAGTGCTGGAACTGTCTCACTGTGTCCTCTCCCTCCCAGAAGTCAAGGGCAGGAAGTGTATCTTACAGAGTTGGCTCAAACTCTGGAGCTGGACACACCTGACTGAACCTGGCTCTCACTGACAGCATGAGATCCCCTCAGCGAGTGCTGGAACTGTCTCACTGCAACTCCCAAAAGCTGATAGTTAAATGTGTAGAGAAATGAATGAGCTTCTTGTTAAGTCATTGGCAGCTTGAACTTGGCCGTGGTGGAGTACTGACAACATGGGAATTGGCAAATGCTACAGAAAAACTCCCCTTCCCCGCAAGAGCTGATTGGTAAACATTTTTCAGGATATCACTGGGTCCTGGACTTAACCTCCCTGAGCCCCAGCTTCCTCATCTGTGAATGGGGCACAGCAGCTGCCAAGCAGCAAGCACCTCATCTCCATCTTCCCAGGGGCTGTTTTGTTGAGTGTTCCTGTGCCTGTGAGGGCAACACTATTATCATCCAGGTTTTACACAAGTGGAAGCCGGCACTCAAAGGGGAGCTTGGCTGCCAGAGTGAAACTTTGGGGACTCGGATTTGCACCCAGTTTAAATCTGCATCGCCCCAAAGCCCATGCTCTCAACCATGGGCACCTGCTCTGGCGGGGCGACCAGATGCCTCATCCGTCCCCTAGCAGCCGTGAGTGCCAGGAGGGCTGGCAGCATCCTCCATACTGTGGAGGGCCTGGAGCCTGGGACAGTGCCCGGGACCCAGTGGGATGTTTGGCGTGGGTGTTCATGGAGCGGGCGGCTGGAAGCGTCACCTGCTGTGGGTTTGTCTGCCACTTCCTCATGCACACAAGCAGACACTCCTGTCCACCGACTGTGTGCGAAGCCCTGGGCTGCAGCCTGGGAGGCTTCAGTGATGACGCTGCTCTGTGTCCTGATCTTGCCCTCGCAGCAGATAAGCCTTGACTGCTATAGAGGAGGCTGGTGGGAGGGGGGATGAGGTGCTGAGTGGTCAGGGCAGGGAGAGGCCTCTTGCACCTGCCACACTGACCAACTCTGTTGCTACCCTAGTGGCCTGAGTGAAACAGGTGACAAATGGCAGGGGGACCAGTTACAGCCCACAGAACTCCCTCCAAGGCCAGGAGGGATCTGACATCCAGAACCTTCCAAAAGGAGAGAGGGTCCTTAGCTGATTTGGAATGGGACAAGAACCATGATGACAGTAATGATGTCCACGTAAGTGTGAGGGACAGGTTGGTCTCACTTGGCAGGTCTCAGTCCCGCCCTGTGTGATGATCTCTTTTCACAGAGGGGTCCTCTGTCATCCGCATCTGCGGTCCAGGACTCTGAGCCCAGAGAAGGCCACAGCTGGCAGTGGCTCTGCTGGCTTTCAGAGTAATTCTGCTCCTCGCCAGGCTGAATGGCTGGGAATAATACCCGGCCCCGGGGAAGATGGGCGCTGGGCAAGCCTGTGGAGTCCTGAGTCCTCCCTCCCAGCTGGGGCTGGGCAGGAAGAGGACGTCAGCTCCCCTCAGCGTCCACACCAAGCAGCCCGCACACTAAGGGCCCCACTCCAACCCTGTATTTGCAGAGTTAAGTTTGTGATAATCCTGCTGATAACAGAACACGTAACCCCAGGGGACCAGACCTGGCTCCATCTGGGTGCCGGCGGGAACGGGGAGTCCTCTTCAGCTCCACCCTTCCTGGGTTTGGTTCTGAAGCGCCCATCTCCAGGAGGCAGAGCCAGCGCCGCGGGATGCACCTGCTTGGCCCATGCCCTCCTCTGCCACTGCCCGTCCTGGCTTGGTCTTGTTCCCAGGGCGACCCCAGCTGGCCGAGGGTCTGCTCTGATTTGTCCGTCACGCTGCGCCTTGGGTTGGAGTCAGGGGTCTGACTCAGGTTCTGGATGTTGATGTGCAACTTGACAGGTTCTTTCAACAAGAGTCATGAGTAATAAGCTCTGTCTGTATCTAAAACAATCTTCATTCCACTCTCACGCTTCCCACTGTTAAGGGTGTGGGTTTCAAGGCTGACTATTATGTTCGAAGCTCTGTGCTTCAGAGATAGCCTTCCACTGTTGAGTAGCATCTACAGTTGCCGAAAAGACACCTGCCGTCAGTCCAAGCTTGACTTCAAGTAGTCTCCCCCTCTCTGTGCCCAGCCCCCAGCGTCTGCACTGACCCCAGTGTTTTCTAGGAAGGGATTGTATTTATTTATCCTGCTTGCTGTTCATTGTGCATCTGCACACTCTGAGAGATCATAACTGACCATCTTTAATTCTGGAAAATTCTCTGCTGTTATCTTTTTAAATATTGCTTCTCCCTCATTCTGCTTAGTATCTCCTCAGCCTTCTGTTGGACACAGGGTGGGGGTTCCCATCCAGCCATCTCTGTGTTTGTGTCCCCTGCCTCCCTCCTGGCTCCTCTGTCCCTGGCACGTGGGACATTGAAAGAGTGCAGATTACTTAGTCCCTCTGGCTTAAGTTTCCCATCCGTGGAGAAAAGAGATTTGTTTGTGAGTTTTACTGTCTTCACTGTTTTTCAGTGCACGGTTCGGTGGAGTTTAGTACTTTTGCATTGTACATCAGATCTCCAGAACTTTTTCTTTTTGCAAAACTGAAACTCAGTACCCAACAGACAAGTCACCGTTCCCCCTCCCCCAGCCCCTGGCAGTGCCATCCTGCTTCCTGTTCCTGTGAACTTGACCTCAGATAATTGGAATCATAACGCATTTGTCCTTTTGTGTCTGGCTCATTCCACTGAGCATAATGTCCTCCAGGTCCATCCATGCTGCAGCACATGTCAGAATTTCCTTCCTTTTTAAGGCTGAGTAATACTCTGTTAAATGCATGGACCACGTTCGTTTACCCATCGTTGGTCGATGGACACTCGGTGCTTCCACTTCTAGGCTAGTGTGGGTGGTGCTGCTAGGAACGTGGGGTTCAGACACCTCTTCAGGACCTGCTTTCAATGCTGGTGGATATTTACCTAGAAGTGGGATTGCTGGATCGTATGGCAGCTCTGTGCTTCATGTTTGAGGAGCCACCAGCCTGTTAGCACCGCGGCTGCTCCATCTCACACCCCACCTACTGTGCGCAAGTGTTCCCGTTTCTCCGTGTCCTTGCCAACATTTGTTATTTTCTGTTTTGCTTTGCTTTCGTTGTGGAAGTACTAACCATCATAATGGGTGTGAGGCGATATTGTTTTGAAAGTGACAAGTGACGGTGAGCATCTTTTCATGTGTTTGCTGTCCATTCGATACTATCTCTGAGGAAATGTCTACTCGAGCTCTTTGCCCATCTTTTAATCAAGTTATTTGTGTTGTTGTTGTCGTCAAGCTGTAGGAGTTCTTTGTACGTTCTGAATGTAAACCCCTGATCGGATACGTGATTTGTCAATATTTTCTCCCATTCTGTCGGCTGCCTTTTCACTCCGTTGTGTCCCTTGTTCATGAAAGCGTCCACGGTTGACGCGTTGTGTTTGATATACATCCATCCATCTGTGTATTTTTGCTTTTGTTTTCTGTGCTTTTGGTGTCATCACCAAGAAAAATGGTTGCCATTTCTAATTCCACTGTATTTTCTTCTAGAGGTTTTACAGGGATGGATCTTAAAATTAGGTCTTTATTCCATCTCTCCTTAATTTCTGGATGTGGTGTGAGGTAAGGGTCCAGCTTCATTCTTTTGAACGTGGATGTCCAGTTTCCAGCGTCACATGTTGGAGAGTGTCCTTTCCTCACAGAGTGATCGTGGCACCCAAACTGAAGATGACTTAAACGTAAAAACCGGGGTGTATTTCTGGGCTCTCTGTTCTCTTCCATTGTTCTGGTTCTCTGTCTTTACGCCATGTCCACACTGATTTAACTACTGTTGTTTTATAATATGTCTTAAAGTCAGGAAGTGTGAGTCCTCCAACTTTGTTCTTTTTCAGAACTGTCCTGCTATTTGGGGTTCCTTGATATTCCATATAAATTTTAGGATGAATTAATTCTATTTCTGCAAAAACCATGCCGTTGGGATTTTGACAGGGATTGCATTGACTCTGTGGATGGCTTTGGGTGGTATGAACGTCTTAACACCGTTTTTTCCAAACCGTGAATGTGGGACATCTCTCCATTTATTTGTGTCTTCTGTAATCCTCTCAGCAGTGTTTCGTAGTTTTCAGCACACATGGCTTTCACCTCCTTGGTTAGGCTTATTCCTGAGTATTTTATTCTTTGCTTCTGTAAATAGGATCGTTTTCTCAATTTCCTTTTTGGATAGTTCACTGCTAATGTGTAGAAATGCAACTGATTTTTGCGTGTTGACTTTATATTCTGCAACTTTACTGAATTCGTGGATTAGTTCTAACAGGTTTTTGTGTAATCCTTATGGTGAGGAAGGGTTTAAACAAAACCCGGTTTAAGGCCCTCCCGTGACCTTGTGTGCTGGGTTCTGGCGACTGTGTGCTGGGTTCTGTGCTTTCCTTAAGCTAGCCACTCTCAGGCCCTGTCCTCAGCCCACTACTTAGATGAGGGCGTCGAGGCCGAGTGAGGCCGAGCCCTGTGGGCAGCTGGGAGGTGCCGTTCCCGCCTGGAGCCCATGTTCCTGACATCCTCAGTCTCGGCCTCTCCTCTCCTTACCAGTCCCTGCTTGGAAGAAATGAGGACCTCCCCCAACTCCGCTGCTTCAGTGGAGAAACATGCAAGACGTCTGGAGAACCAGTGGCTCTGTGAGCGTGCACAGGCCCGGGACCCCCGAACTCCCCCACTTTGCCGGGAGGTGGAGGACTATCTGCAGCTGCCTGCCCCTTCGTTCAGGGATTGTTTCTTCAGCACCTGCTGTGGGCTGGGCTATGCACAGTGGGGTCCTGGATGCAGTTGCCTTGGCCTCACTGAGCTGCTGGGAGCGAAGATGGGGTAGCCCCATCCCACCCATTAGCTCCCACCCTCTCACTTAGCTGGGTGAAGAGTGTGTGTCTGAACAGTAACCTGCAGTCATGGGGCTGTTAATGGGTGCTTCTTAAAAATTATTTTTCCCGATTCGAAATGAGATTGGCTTTTAGTCCCAAGCTCCTCCGTAGGCGCTAAAATTAGAGCCCCGTTGACAAGGCAGCCTTTGTCAGGGCCTACGGCTTGCACCAGGGAAGCAGGGAAATGTCAACAGTACATTTTCTGTGTCAATTTTGAGTTTTTCGAGAGGCCTGGGCAAATGGCAACTCCGAGTGCATTTGAGCTGCTTCAAGCTTTTGGAATCCAGCCCCTCGGTGACAATGTGACTAAGTGTCAGGTTTACAAGGAGCCGGTTCCGGGAGGGGAGCGGCTTCTGCCCCCCGTGCAGACATCCCCTCTGCGAGAGCTGTGCAGGGCAGCCCCCTGCTCCAAGCAGCGATGGGACCAGCCCATGGCACTCTGGGAGCTCTGGATTCACTGAGCTGCACGTCCCTTCCGTGAGCTCGGTGGCCGGTGGTCCGGGGGCCAGGCTCTCAGGCCTTACCGTGGGCATACTGTAGGCTCGAGGATCTGCCTGAAGACGGGAAGTGGGTGCCAGCTTCTGGGCGTTTACATGGCGTGCCCCCGAACCAAATGTGTGGGGAAAGTCACACCCTGCTGTGGCCTCCACACGGTGCCTCTCGGAGCCTCAGTTTCTGCAGCCACCGTAGGCACTGTTTAGAGGTGTCCCCAGCCCCCAGGGGCTGTGAAGGGAAGCAGAGTGTGTAAAGAGCTTAGTTACGGACACGTGGTAAATGGTGCTGTCATTTCTGTGGGTGTTGTGGTCCCTTGTCCCTGCCACCCAGCTCTCATGCAAGTGGCTTTCGTGGCCAAATGTCCGATGTCAAGACCCTTCCGGCCCCCATGCAGGCCTTTCTCTCTGGCCACCTGCTGAGTCTGAGACCGCAGCCCTGGGCCACGGCGAACACCACGCCAGCTCGCAGCCCAGCTCCAGCCCTCCCGGGTGGGGTCCTGGCTTCCCAGCACTTTGCCCGCCCAGAGCCTGGCTGTGCTTCTGGCCGAGTCCTTCTGAGCCTCGCAGCCTGGGGATAGAGGCTGTGTCTGTCTTCAGATGCCAGTGCCTGACCAAGGCTGACCGGACAGGCAGGGGACTGGCTTCCAGAATGACAGACTCAGTGCTCAGCTGTTTCCCTCTCAGTGCCTCTGTCCCCACTGAGTGCAGCTGGGGTGGCTCAGGGCTGTGACGCTGACTTCCCACCAACTCCCCATGGAGGAGTCGCAGCAGATAAAGCCAGGGCTCCTGACCCCACAGACAAGAACTTGAGGCCAAAAGGAGGCTAAGAGGTCACCATGGTGGACCCTCCCTCTCCCTGAGCAATCTCATCTTGAGATCCTTACCTTGGTTACATCTGCAGAGATCCTATTTCCAAATAAAGCCACATTCACAGGTTCTAGGGATTAGGACATGGACATACCTTTTGGGGGGCACCATTAGGTCTGGTGAGTGGTGCCCAGGCTGGACCTGGGTTGTCTGAGCCGGCCATGTCTGAGCTGTGACCTCGTCCTCCAGGTCCGGGCCATAAGGCTGTCCTTTGTGGGGGAGATGGGCTGGGAGCTGCACATCCCCAGGACTTCCTGCGTGCCTGTGTACCGGGCTGTGATGGCAGCGGGTGCCAAGCACGGTCTCATCAACGCGGGCTACCGTGCCATCGACTCCCTGAGCATTGAGAAAGGTGAGTGCAGGTGTGGACGGCACTGGGGGCCACCTGAGCCACCTGAGGCAGAGAAGCTGTGACCCTCCCATCACCGCCTCCTTCTCTTCCCGCTAAGATTCCCTCTTTCCCTGATGCTGCCCATTTCCCCAAACCTCCTCGTGGCCCACAAACCAGGTCTTCCGCAGGGCCCCAGAGATGGTGTTGGGGTCACCCACAGCTACACAGAGCTGAACTCAGAGGTGAGGCGCCCCTGCCAGCATGGGGGGTCAGGGCCACAGCTGGATTTGAATTCAGAACCTTGGTTTCCCTGAGAGCTCTGAAGGATGTCAGAGCAGAGAGGGGTGCCGGAGGTTCCGGTGAGGCCTTCTTATCCTGCAGAAGGACAGAGCCTTGGAGTGGTGTCGGGCAGCTCCAGGAATGCGGCCCAGGCCCCCTTACCAGCTCCTCCCCAACACCCCAGCCTGACATGCAGAGGGCTGGGAAGTTTCCCCAGGAAACCTTTGGAGTCCAGGATGCCCCTTCCTCCTTGGGTTGCTCAGGTCACTAAGCAGTTCTGTGGGTGGGGACTTGGGACTGGAGCTGAGTGGTCTGGGTGGCATCCACGTGTGTCTTCTAAAGGGCTTGCTGCCCACCCTTAGCTGGGCACTGACCCCGTAGTCTGTCCCTCCCCCAGGCTATCGGCACTGGCATGCTGACCTGCGGTCGGATGACAGCCCCCTGGAGGCGGGCTTGGCTTTCACCTGCAAGCTCAGGTCCGCTGTGCCCTTCCTGGGGCGTGAGGCCCTGGAGAAGCAGCGGGCCACAGGCCTCCGCCGCCGCCTCGTGTGCTTCACCGTGGGGGAGTGAGTATCCTGCCGTCCCAGGCCCGCCCAGAAGCCGCTGCCCCAGCCACAGTCGGCAGGTGCTTCCTGCACCCCCAACAAAGCTCCCCGGTACCAACACTTCCCACGTGCCAGCCCCCCTCTCCAGAATGCCCACAGCAGCCTGCTACAGATGAGGAAACCGAGGCCTGAGAGACACGCCATCTGGCCAAGTCCCACACTGTTAAAGGCGGAGCTGGGATTCAACCAGGCCAGTCTGGCTCCAGAGCTGAGGTTGCAACTCAGACCCCTCCAGGGCCAAAACTGAGTCAGGGGCCGGGTATGGGTCACTGTAGAGAAGGCACACCCCGCTCAAGCAGAGATGTAGAAGGGGAAGGTGCTGCCGAGCCACGACAGCCCCTCTGAGGGTGGTCCGGGCGAGCATGTTGGGAGGTGAGCCCTGCCTTGGACACAGCCCCCCGGTCACTGCACCGCAGCCTCCTATCCTGCTCCTGTTCAATACTCCCATAGCCCTGGGATGGGGGTGGGAAGCCTGGCTCGGGCTGCCCTCCCCACTTACAAATGGAGACACAGGGTGCTGGGGACTCACGCCCCTCACAGGCAGAGGTGGAAGGAGAGACCCCTCCTGGGGACCCCATCCCTGCGATCTCCCTCCAAGGGGTGGCTCTGAGCGGGTGGCTGGCGTCAGATGCAAGCGCTCCCTGAACCCCCGGGCAAGTTTGGATGCGGAGCTTGGGTTCCACGTGGCTGTCAGAGTTGCTATGAGACGCTAATTCCGTGCTGGCGTCAAAGGACTGCCAATGGTACAGGAGCGAGATGTCTTGGGGCTGTGTGGACGTGCAGCTGACAGCCAGCCCCACCGGGACCTCTTCCCCAGAACTCTAGAGCCTTCAAAGCGAGTGGCAAGCATGACGAGGGGACGGCAGGGGACGGGAGCAGAGCTGCGGTTGCCCTCGTCCTGAGGCTTCTCTTGGGGGCTCGTCCACATCCCTGGGAGCAGCTCAGCTCTGCTGAGGGGGCCCCTGCAGGCAGAGCAGGGGTCTACGGAGCCCCTCTGCCCACCTGGCCCTGCCATTCTGACCCCTCGCAAAGCACCCGTGACCTGATGTCTGGCTCAGGGAATGGCCTTGGACGACCCCTGTCACTGCCTGCTCTGTGCAGGGGGCTCTGCCAGGCTGTGGGATAATTGTCAACACTGTGGCTCTTGGCCATCCTACCCCCAAAGGGCGACTCAGACGAGTGCTGGTGTGAGGTCGCAGAGGACGGCCCCATGCTCGGCTCTGGGATGCTGGGCGAGTTGGGGAGCCCCTCTGAGACTCAGTTTCCTCACGTGGAGAATGAGGGTAGCGCCTCCCCTGTGGGACTGCGGTGAGAACAAAGGGGACAAGGAGGTGCTGGTCCATCTGATGGTGCAGGCCAGGGAGGTGGCCGAGCCCTGCCCGGGCTCTTTCCATGTAGTGCAGGCTTCACACAGCTCTCGCCACGAGAGCCAGTCATGGGGGGAACGTCTACAGATGGCACCGGAATGTTGTCCCCGGGTGCTGACATTCCTGGGATTTCAGTCTACATTTTTCTTTGTATTCCTATTTTGAATGTTCAAAAGTTTTACATATGTTGTGTGTCATGAAGAAACGGCCGCTTCATGAAGCGCGCATCCCACCGCACGCAGAGCTGCCCAGCGGAGCAAGGCGGGCTGCGGCGGTGTCGCATCTGCCCCGCCCAGCAGGGAAGCCGAAAGCCACAGCCGCAGCTGCGCCTCTTCCGAATATAGGGCGCTTGCTTCTAGAAACGCCAAGGGCAGACCCCAGTTTGGGTGTTTTCTGTTCATTGATTGATTCACTCACAGCTTGTGCCTGGTGTCCCGGGCCAGGGGCTCAGCGGAGCCCAGCCCAGCCCAGCCCTGCTGCCGGCAGCCGGGGTGGCCTCACTCTTGGTGCTGCTATCTCGGTGCCCACCAGCGCGGCTCCGAGGGCAGCTGTCTCTATGGCTTCTTCCAGGAAAGTGCCCATGTTTGGCCTGGAGGCCATCTGGAGGGACGGCCAGGTGGTGGGCCACGTCCGGAGGGCTGACTTCGGGTTCACCATCGACAAGACCATCGCCTATGGCTATATCCGTGACCCCAGCGGAGAGCCGGTGAGTCCCCTTCCCTGACCCTGCTACGGGCAGCCCCAGTCCCTCCCCAGGTCCACACAGCACCCTGCACCACACCCCGAGCATGCTGGGCCGCAGGGAGGGGGGAGAGGGAGACAGGAGGGAGCCTGGCCATGGCTCCCGGCAGAGTCGCAGCTGTTTCTCTGTTCTCTTTCGGAAAGATTCTGACTTTGACAGCTCCAGGTTTCTTCTCAGAATGAGGCACAGGGCCGAGGCTGAAACCCCCTGGCTCCTGAAGCCAGACACCCAAACCATGATCCACTGACCACCCTTCGCCAAGGGTGGGCCCCAGGGTGACCAGAGACCTGGACTCTGCCCAAGACCCCTTCTTTCACCCCCTCCTCCCCCTCCTTCCTCTCCTTCTGCACCCCAGACATTCCTTGACCCCAGTCAACTCTACACTCACCAAGTGACCCAGGCCCCAGGCTGCCCCAGACAGAGCTGGCAAGGCCTAGGTGCAACCCAGGAGCTTGTGGTTGGGTCAAATCCCAGGACAGCCCTGGACATGACTGGCAGCCTCCCCACAAGGGGAAGGGGCAGCCGCTGGGGGAGGGGTGAGCAGGGTTATGTCTTTCCACCAGAGGCAGCTACGGAGGCAGATCTGCCATTTGCTCCAAGCTTGAGTGAGGCCACCTGTCCCCCTGCCCCAGCTCCAGGCCCAGAAATGCTGGCCTGGCCACATCACCTTCCAGCCTGAGCTCCCGATAGTTCATACCCTAGACTCTGCAGTTCACACCCCAGACTCTGCAGTTCACACCCCAGACTCTGTAGTTCATGCCCCAGACTCCACGGTTCATGCCCCAGACTCCACAGTTCATGCCCCAGACTCCACAGTTCATGCCCCAGACTCCACAGTTCATGCCCCAGAGTCAACATTCATACCCCAGACTCCAGAGGGAGGGAGGGAGGGAGGCCTTGGAGAAGAAGGTTGGAATGAGTCAGCCCAGCCCAGCAGGAGCTGCCAAGGGAAGTGCTGGGCAAGGCTGCTGTCCTGCAGGCCATGAGGAGGGGTGGCAGCTGGTGAGGCGGAGCCCTGCCATGGAGCTAGGAGACTCAGGCACAGGCTTGACATCACCAGCGTTTGGGGCTCTGCCTTTACTCGCTCTGTGACTTTGGACAAGGGGCTTCCCTATGAACCTTGGTTTCCTCCTCTATGAGATGGGGACAGACTCCCACCTACGTCACGAGACTGTGTACAGGTCACCGCTCAGAGTGGGGACTTAATAAGCCGCAGAAGGCATGGCCAGCTGGGCCTTCCCTGACACTGGGGACAATGGAGCCCTGCGTCCCAGCCATAGCGGGGCCGGTCTGCTCTGGACTGGGGTGCGGTAGAGGGGAGTGGAGGCTCGGCGGCCACCTCTTTCAGAGAACGAGGACACTTGCCTTTCCTGCTGAGTCAGGGATGGGTTGTCACCGACGTGACCAAGGAAGCAGAGCTTCCGTGTTACCCAGATTGGCAGTGCAAGGCACTCAGGCACTGCCAAAGGAGGGCCAGGCCACCAAGGCCGGCTCGTGAGGGTGTCAGTGCCATCCCTTCCCACCGCCTCGGTCAGGGCCACCCGGTGCAGTTACACCATGGCAATGGGCAAAGCTACAGATGGATTCCCCACCGCCCCCAGAGCTGAGCGTTGAACATTTTCCAGCACACCGGGGGATGGAAAACAGGTCTCTTCATGAGACTGAGAACGTGCCCCTTGAAAAGGAAGGCTCTGGAGGTGGAGGCAGGATGTCGGGCCTCACAGGTATTTATTTATAAGCAAGGACCGTGTCCCCACTCGAAGCGACCCCCTCTAGGAGGTGCCTGCCTTTAGACAGCTGAAGACCACCAGTTACCTGTGCTACCTGCCTGCAGGCCCGCAGGGGCACGCACACAGCTCGGAAGCGTGGCCTAGAGGCCTGTCACTCCTAAAGCTGCAGTCACATAAAAAGCCTTGTTTGTTTTCCTTTTTTTCATCCAGTCCTGAGCTGCCAGGAGTGGGAGGAGGCCCTCTAACTCCCAGAGCAGAGCCCAGGACACCCTCCCCGTGGGCCTGGCCCTGGGTTTAGGCACCGCACGGGGAGAACAGGGTCCCGAGTGCTGGGCTGCCCTCCCCTGCAGCCTCAGCAGAGTGCCCAGACACATCAGCCCTGCCTGGCTGGCCATGACGCTCCCTCCTCCTGCCTCAGGAGCAGCTGCTCCCGGGCTGACCGGCTCCCTCGGGCGTGTGGGGAAGGCCGAGCCACGGTGTGGGTGGGGAGGGTGCGGTGGCCAAGCTGTCTTTAATCGCCACTACTCCAGCTGCCGCACTTGCCCAGGTTCCAGGGAAACAGTCCGTGTTTCTGTTCCCTGCTCTGTTCCCAGGGGTCTGGGATGCCTGGGCAGGAGCTGTGATGTCCTGTGCAGAGGCCTTATGGCGGCCAGACCTTGGCTTCACCGGGCCCCAGATGCTCTAGTCCAACTCAGGGGCACATGGACATGAAATCTACCTGCTCTGGGGGCAACACTTTGATTCAGATTAGGAGCCTGTGACACAGGGATGGGTTTGGCCACAGGGCAGGAAGCAAGGCCACGACCCCCCTGACCCCAGAGAAGCAGGCAGGTGTCAATGCAGCTCCCACCCAGTGACGAGTGACCCTCATCCCCTCCTCTGCTCCTAGGTCTCGCTGGACTTTGTGAAGAGTGGGGACTACGCCCTAGAGAGGATGGGGGTGACCTATGCTGCCCAGGCCCACCTGAGGTCACCCTTCGACCCGGACAATAAGAGGGTGAAGGGAATCTACTGAGAGGGCCTGTGGACCCTGGACCCTGGACCCTGGACCCTGGACCCTGGACCCTGGACCCTGGACCCTGGCCAACACTTGGGCCTTCCCCATCCTTAGTCTAGGCCTGGTCCTGCTAAAGCCCCCAAACCAGATATGGACAGAGAGAGTGGAAAGAGGGCCAAGATGGCCCGTCCTGTGGCCACTGACAAAAGAGTGGTCTCTCATCCATCCTCAGTCCTCCCCAAAACAAACCTGTAAATGTCTTGGGCTGAGAGATCATGCCTCATCATTAGTAAATACTGGATAAGCCTGCACAAAAGCAGGAAGGCAAACAGTCTTCACCCTTTATTTTGAGTTGAAGAGCCATGTGGCCACATCTAGACTCAACTGGCACTGTCTGCCCGGGTGCAGCATGGAGGACAGTGGGCGTGTGCGGAACAGTGCTGTGCGAGACCAGGGCCGTGCTGCAGGCTGAGCTTGGGGAGGGGGCGGGGCGGGGAGCTGGAAAGCTCTTGCCTTGACCTCCCGTTCCTAGGCAGGAAAGCCTTCTGAGAGTTACCAGCCTGCGGAACAGCTTCCCTCTCTCACCCGTGCAGAGGCACCAGCTCCTGCCTCAGTTTCCCTGCAAGCCCCTCACTCACCAGGTCCGAGGAATAGGGGCTTGCTACTGGGTAAAACCCCAACAGAATCCTCCATTCTGGGTGACCTCTGTACTTGCTGTTGATTAGGACACAGTCCTCCCATGTCTTCCCCTCGCCCGGCCCCTTGGGGAGAACCCTGTCTTAGGCTCTGTCCTGTGCACGGCCGTGGGATGGGTGACTCCCCCGCACCCGTCTCCTGCCCGTCAGAACTCTTGCACACCTGCTGTGTGTCAGGGTAACCCTGCCTCTCCTGCCTGGGATGGGTGTCCATCATTGTCCCTCCTGTGTGTCCAGACCCCTCCCTCTTCACCCTGTGCCCTGGGTCCAGAAGGCAGGACTTCATTGCCCACTGGGCTGACGAGGAGCCGGGCCAGCCCCAGCAAAGGTGCACCACATGGTCTTGCCAGGCAGGCCCTGCAGTCTGGGGAGAGCAGGTGGCAGGTGCTCAGGGGACATGGCGAGTCAGGTTCCCACAGACCCACACGGAAGCGGGGAGGTACTTTGGGTGCAGGTGGCCTTTCGCAGGCTCTGGCTGCCTCTGGATGTTCACACACCACGCAGCGCTGTGGACTGAGATGGAGTGGGCCAGGCTAATGAAGTCCAAGCCGCAGGAGGTGTTTTGGTTGCGGATGGCCTTTGAAGAGTGGATCTGGCCCCTGAGTCCAGGGAGAGGCTGTGGGGTGGGGGACCTCTGGCTTTCACACAGTTCGGGCTGAAGGGACACCTGCAGCCACCGCTGGCCCCCAGGCAGGCCTGGCTCCCAGATGAGAGGGCTTCATGGGGGCTGACGGGCCCCATGGAGACAGAGGAGGAGAGGAGGGCGGCGGCCCCCCAGGTGGGCCTGGCCCGCTTCCCCCGGGTCTGAGGTTTGGCCACAGAGCCCTAGATTAAGCCAGTGACCACATTCATCTCCTGGCCTGTCCTTGGGGGAAGTTTGAAGACGAGGGAGGTCCGAGCCCAGGTTCCAGTCCAGGCACAGCTCACAGCTGCAGCTGCGGGCGAACTCCAGACATTCCTCTGTTTGCAGCGTTCTGTCCTCAGCCCCTCCGGAAGGGCGCGGGTCACTGACGTGAGAGCAGCTGCTGCGATTTGCCTGCCAGGCTCACCTGTCCCATCCGGGGTGGCGCAGGGAGGTCCCCGCAGTGCCGTGGCCCCCAGCCTGCTGCCCTGACCGACTACAGAGGACCCACTACCCCTTCCCTCAGAGCTTGTGGACCGGAGCCAGATCCTTCTCATCACCAGTCTAGAGACACCCTGATTTCTATCTATTTTTAAAGATTTGTCTGGAAAAAACAAGCACCATGACCCTCACGGTGGCTGAGTACTGCCTCTCAGGACTTCTGGGCAAATTGCTTGAGGGCACTGGACTTGTGGAGGGCAGAGCTCAGCTGGAGAGGGGGGTGGAAGACTGGGTGTCCTCAGTGCAGCCTGCATGCGGTCTGCATCCCTGCGCTCACAGGCTCCTGGCCACCCCTGATGGTCCTGTTTAAAACAGCCCCCTCCAGCACCCCATCTCTGCTGATCTGCGTTCCCTGCACTTCACCCCTACCCGTGTGTTTGGCTCCCGGTCCCACCCCAGGGCCTGCAGCAGGACCTGGTTCCCACGGGCACTTGATTACTATTTTATGCCAGATGAAGGAGAGGCGACATGAGGGGACAGAGACCAGGACCAGGGGGGCTGAGGGAGCGGAGGGCTGCCTGGGGGCGATGGTGATGGCCCTGGGTCCAGGGTCCCTACAGGCTTCTGTGAACGAGCAGTGTGCTTGGGGGTGGCTTCTAGACCCCACTGAAGTCAGGATCTGGGGGGACCAAGATGCAGCCCGTCTGAAGTTCAGAAACAGAATGAGGGCCTCCGGTTCCGGTCGAGAATCTTCCACTGAAAGTCCCCAGGTCCCCATTAGGAATCTTGCCCCAGGTCCCCATTAGGAATCTTGCCCCAGGTCCCCATTAGGAATCTTGCGGGACAGCAGAAGTTCCTCGCCTGGGGTTCACGGACACAGGGCCCCCCTCCATGGGAAAGCCTCCGGGAAGGCAGGGGAATGTGGGAGGCGGGGGCTGGGGAGACAGGAGAGAATGGGCGTCCTGGGGGCTCAGCTGCTATTCTCAGTGTATTCGAAAGGGCGTGACCTCGCCCCGCCTGGGCTCAGGGCCCGCTTTGTTTTCACCTGCGATGGGGCAGAGAGGAGGAGGGTGGGAGGGACCAAGCAGCCCCGGGGTGGGAGCCAGGGACAGAGCGAGGTCTTTTGACACTTGAGGAAGCCAGTGCATCTCTGTCCCAGGCCTATTCTCTACTCGGGCATTTGGAAGCCCATAGGGGAATTTTTGGTGGTCACGATGGCTGGGGGGGAGTGCCGGGGTAGAGAGGCTGGACCTTCTGCATCATGAGGGATGATCCTTAGCCACAAAGACTGTTTCTGCTCAAGATGCCCCGTGGATAATCCCAGTACCCCTGCAGCTGTCCAGACAGCTTCTGTCCGGAGTTGGCCGTGGTCGGCCTGCTGAGCCCTTCTCGGAGGAGGCTCAGAGCTGTGAGCATGTATGTGGGGACCTGGTCCCCCACCAAGCTCGCTGAGCTGATGCTGTCTGGGACCCTGCCCCGGGCATCAGCACCCTGGAGAGCTGTCTGTGAGAATGGAAATGTGCTGCACCTGCACCGTCCACTACCGTAGCCACAGGCCACATGCAGCTACTGAGCCCTGAAATGTGGCGAGTGTGACCAAGAGACCGAATATTCCATCTTATATCATTTTAATTAATTTAAAATTAAGCTTAAAGAGCCACATGAGGCTAGTGGAGAGGCTACTAGCCAGTGCAGTCCTGGAGCATCCTGGGACCGGCGCGGGCAGACATACCTGCCCTGGCTGGAGCTGGTGGCTGGGGGACACCCCCACACTCACTGCCAAGGCCCTCTCAACACTGATCTGGTGTGAGCACACCTCACCTGGGACCCTGGGCCCTTCATAGCTGATGGGTCGTGTCACCCTAGCAGCCCCCACCCCCTGGGAGGCTGGGAGACCCAGAGAGGGAGAGCAACTTACTCTGGGCCACACAGCACAGGCAGGACTGGGAACCTGGGCAGCTGGACTCACGCCCTGGGCTCCTCCTGCCACTCCAATAATTCAGACGATGGGCGAGCCTGAGCGTCCCTGTGGCTTGGAGCATGCAGGAGGGACTTGGCCAAGACAGCACCTCACCCTGTCAGGTAACAAGGATGTCCCCCACATCTCCTTGTCTGATCCCCACAGAGGCCCACAGGGGGTTTCCTGTTTCATAAATAAGGAAATGGAGTTGAGAGCCCAGACAGCGTCAGACAGACCTGGGGTCACTTCTGGGATCCAAGGCTCCCTCTGGGTGCTCCTGACACCTAACATTAGGGCTCTAAGCCTTGGTTTCCTCATCTGTAGATGGGGACAGGAACAGCGTGCCTACCTAGGTTTGTCGCAGCTGGTAGGGAACCAGCTGCGCAGGGACAGCACCTCACACCCACGTTGAACCACGGTAATCAGGAGCGGGTGTGGCTGGGGCTGGCCACGGGGGAGCGCGGGAGGGAGTGGAGTGCGGGGGTGAGCGTGTCACTGTGATGGCGGGAGGCTCTGGAGCTGGGTGTGATTCCCTCGCCTGTGAGACCGGCATGCCTCAAGTGCCGCTCGGGTGTCTGGTCGGGCTTGCTCGGTGACCCAGGAGTCTCCCTTGCACCCTCTCCCAGAGATCCAGGTTGCCCAGGACCCTTCTCTGGACTGGCAGTCAGGCACGATCAGAGGGAAGGGGTCTTCTTGGGCTACAAGACCATGGGCCGAGGCCGGACCCATCCCCGCAAGGAAGGACATCGCCTCTACCTGTCACCAAGGCTGTAAAGAGGATGGAGCCGGCTCTCAGGGCCTGGCATTTCAGTGATGACACCCTGTGACTTACGGGCTGCGAGAGCCATGACTTATAGTCGCGGTGCAGAGCATCTGCGCCTGTTAGCTCCCTTCTGTGATGAAGAGCCCGTGGAGGAGAGGCCGCCACTCAGCTGCTGCCAGTGGGCAAGGGGGACTCGAAGGCCCATCCATCACCCACTCTCTCCCTAGACATTGCAGCATTTTGCTGAACTGGCTGAACAAACCGAGTCGTTACTCCCTCCTGAAGTCATCAAAGAGCTGCACTTATCCTTAAAGGGGAGGCAGCTCGGGGGTGGGGGGGAGGGAGGAAACTGAGGTAGGCTGCAGCTTCACCACGGGGCAGAGTGCCCGGCACCACCCCTGGCACAGAGGGGCTCAGAACAGGTTTTCCTCTCATGGAAGCAACGGCCACCAAACCCCACGTGTGGCATTATCATGTCATTGATCTGTACAGCATTAGCCCCATTTTACAGATGAGAAAAGTGAGGTTCAGGTAGGCAAACTGGCCCACCCTGGTCACACCTCCACTAGGCAGTTGAAGCAGACTTTGAAAGTGGGTCTGTCCGGAGCCCAATCTACCCACCGCTGGGTTCCGCCACCAGGAGAAGCAACCTGGCACTAATAATCCCATTTCCCCATGGAGCCAGTGCCCAGGATCCCCGTCTAGATTTTTGCTGTCTTCTCTTTTGGTGGGGCTGATAGTTGTTGTTAGGGTTTCCTGTTAGTGGGCGAAAATATCTATTTACTCTGCAACAGGGCAATTTCCCCAGGCAAGTCTCTAACTAGCTAAATGCCTTGTCCTGCCTCCGTGGGCAGGAAGGCCGCCCACCACAAGACACGAGGCGCTCTGCAGGGAATTGTTTAAGTAGCGCTGGCACCCACCGCACACCAATACGAGTCGCCACCACCAGGAGTAGCAGGGTGGAGATGGGGCCATTTGGGGGGGTCTGTGCCCCGGCCCAGCATGGTTGCTGTCCCAGGAGGACCAGCCCCTCCCAGCAAGGCAGGGCAGGGCTGGGGGGCACTGGCAGGCTAGCCTTATACTGACTGAGTCAAAGGGTGTGGATGAGGTGGTGGTCCACCCAGTCCAGGAAAGTCAACAGGGGGCCCTCCAGGGACCCTCTCAGCCATGCAGGGTCTCTCTGAAGGGAAAAGGCTGCAGTGGACCAGGGTCTCAGGTAAGGGGTTGGTCAGGTCCCTTCATCCTGGGCACACAAAGCTGTTCCATGGGGGTCTTCACAGAGCGGGGGTGCGCAGAGTTGGTGTGAGTGCACAGGGGCAGCATGGGGGGGCGAGGAGGAGGCCCCGCTCAAACTTTGCCCCCACCAATGCTGACCACAGTAGGACCAGCGGGGCTCAGGCTGCGACTGGTGGGACACTGTGGGGTGGGCTCTTCCAGCTTGGAGATGATCTCAGGCAGGGGCTGCAGATTCCATTCACCCTGCAAGGAAGGGATGAGGAGGTAAACTGAGGCTGGAGGGGCAAGACAGGGTGTCACCTCTATAGCCACTTTTACCAAACTCACCTTGTCTGAAATTAATGCCCCCTCCACCCCCAAGTTGGTCCTTGGGGGTCCCCATCTCAGTAAATGCCCCCTCCCCCGGCAACTCAGTTACCTAGTCAGGAACCTGGGAGGCATCCAGGTCTCTCCCCACCTCCCTGCCCACTGCTCAGTTTTCCCTAATGTAGCAACTAGAGCCCCTGGGTGCAGCTCTGATTTTTTGTTAGCCATTTCTCTGCGGCAGGCTGCATCGAATGCCAAGATATCCACCACCCCACGCAACTCTCAGATGAGCCAGTATTAGTCCTTCCCTCGGTGCTGGGAATGTTTGATTTAGCAATTAATCCAGCTCCCAAATGCTTCCAGGAAAGATCTGCTCCCCAGATCTCCAGCCTGCTGAGCCTTATGTGACTAACTCGGCAAAGCCCTGGTCTCTTGACCAGCAGCTCGCTGGGCAGCGGGAATAAATTAGATGCCTTTAAGTCCTAGTGGGTCTCAGATAAGAAGGAAGAAACCAGCCTGCAGTTTCAGATTGTTTGGTTTCTCACCTTCCCCTCCCCCGGCGCTTTATTTTTAGGCTGTGGGGGAGGTTGCTGGCGCCCTGCTCACACCACAATGTGCAGACCGGGATGAGCCCATGAGGAGCAGTCTCCCAAGAGAGGGTGGCCACCCTGTCCTTCCCTTCCTGGCAATGTCAGCATCTACACCTACCGCAGGCCACCTGTCTGTCACCACTGGGTCCTTCTCTCTGTCTCGTGTTTGGAGTCAGCCCCCCACCCCATGCAGGGCCTCCTCCGGGCCTGGGGCAGATCCGGGAACAGAGTGTGGGGTACTGCACGACTTGCTGGGGGCATGGCTGGTGCCCCACCTACACGCATCGGGTGGCGCACCTGGAAGCGGACAGCGGAGGACTTGTTGCAGTGCATGGAGATGGGTGCAAAGCCGTACAGGGCCCCCAGCATGTCGCGGTTGAAGGAGTTCCAGGGAACAGAGGCAAACTGCTGAGGGACGGAAGCCTGGGGGCAGGTGCAGACGTCCTCGCTGTTGAACCTGGCAGGGGGGAAAGGAGCAGCCCAGTCTGGAGTACGGCTGGTGGGAGGGGAGCCCAGCAGGGCAGGCATGGCAGGTCCCCAGAGTGGTCTCAGGCCACCTCTTCCCGAGCCCCCCCCCGCCTCCACCAGGCCTGCTAAGGTGCTGCCTCCTCCTTGCTCCACACCAGCAATGCTTCTATCTCTTGTGGCCTCTTGGGGCAGTTGGTGATGGCTGCTCCAAGGCTCGCTTGAGGAGGCTTCTCAGGCCAAGTCCAGGCTCAGCAGGGAACAAGTGAGGGATCGAACAGTGATGCCTGCACAGGCACTCTCATGGGATGGAGGCCCGGTGGCCACCTGTGCGCTAACCCTGCTCCGAGAACTTAGCCTGGAGTTCTCACATTCGCCCAGCCACCTAACAGGGTCTGGGGGCTTCTGTGTCGGGGTTCCCTAGGGACAGACGGTGCACACAGGCACCGTACCTGTTGACGAGATGGAAGTACTTCTGCAGAAAGCCCCCATCCACGGCGCTCTTACAGAGCTCCAGCTGCGTCTGAGGGTAGTAGTGCACGTAGTTGACACACATCTCCTCCAGGATCCCGAAGCCCCCCTGCAAGTTGGAGAGGACCCCCATCAGCCCCGGGCATGTCACCCTCACATGCTGTCACCCAGCAGCTTTTGCCATGTCCTGTTCACCACGTCACCCATCCATCCATCACACAGTGTCAGGCAGTGTGGCAAGCCCCAGATGGAGCAGGGTACCAAGGCCCAGCCCTTGGGGAACCCCTGCCCCCGCAGGAGAGGCGGGCAGCAGGTTAACTGGTAAATACCTATCAGGTGGTGATAATGGGGTAAGTGGATAGGTGCACGGGGTGCTACTGTTCCCATTTTATGGGTATAGAAGAAACTGAGTCTCAGAGAGGACAAGGGGCAAGCCCTGTGGTGGCCACAAGGTCAGTGGCACAGCCTGAGTGGATGCAGCCTCCAACTGCTGGCTGGGAGCTGTCCCCGAGGACGGCAGAGGAGGCTTCCCCCCATACCGCAAACCCACACTGTCCACCTCTCAGGAGTCAGGAAAGATGGAGCGGAGGCCGTGACACAGCCTGCAGCCTCCCAGGGCAGCCCCACAGCCTCTCCTGATACAAGAGGGGCAGAGCAGGCGCTCTGAGTCCCCGCCGCTGGCTTTTGGCCCCTGGCCAGGCCGGTGAATGTGGAAGCTTGGCCGGGGGAGGACGAGGACGCCAGCAGATTGGACAAAGCAGAGCTCCTCCGTGCCTGGGTGGGGACCCCCTGCAGGGCAGGGGCCAGGCCCATGCCCCAGCCCACCTTCGCCTCCCCCAGCCGAGCGGCTCTTTATCTGGCAGGTGGGAAAGTTGGAGGGAAGAAAGCATCTGCTACTTTATGGCAGAACAAAGTCTGTGAAAAGCCCAGCGGGGCGCTCGCATCAGCTGCCCCTCCTCCCGGTGCAGACAAAGGGCTCAGCACGGGGCGGTTCCGCCCGGGGTGTCACTGTGGTTGTCTGAAAGGGAATCCCCGTGAGCAGATCAGTGTGGCCCCGGAGCAGCACCTGGCGGGCTGGACGGCCTCCACTCTATTGTTCTCTGTCCTGATTCCTCCTTTCCCAGCCCGTCCCGCCCGCCTCAGAAGGGGCAGGTCACCGTCCTCTGTGAGTTCCGGGCCCTCCCACGTCTCTGCTGCCTCAGACATCAAAAGGGACCCGGTCAGGGGCCAGCCTCTGCTCTCCCCTCTGTCTTTCACCTGGGGGAGGAAATCGCACTTCAAAGGCCGCTGTCTCGGGATCAGCAGGCGGGGTTGTCAGAGCGTGGGAAGCTCCGACCTGCCTGCTGGGGGCTGCCTCCCCTTGGGGAGGCCGGGGCCAGGGACGCCCCAGAACGGCCAGCCCAAGGCCTCGACCTGCAGACCCAGGCAGGGACGTCCGCGGCGCTCACCAGGCCTCAGCCCAGCTGCCTGCCGTGGAGCCCCGGGGGTGGGGCAGGGAGAAAGGCCCCGGGTCTGCCTGGGCAGGGGTCCCTTTCACTCTCTGCTGACTGAGTGTCCCGCAAGTCCCATCCCCTCCCTGGCCCCCAGCAGCTGCACCTGCAGAATGGGGGCGACAATGTGGGTCTGCGTGGGCCGCCCTCTTGCTCACTCACCCACAGCACACGGAGCTGCCCGTGAGAGGCAGCCTAGGCTGGGCTGGTGCCTGGACTCGGCGCCAGGCTGCCTGGCACCAGCACCAGTCTGCCACCTGTCACTGGACCTCTCCCTGTCTCCTGACAGCACCTGCCTCCCGGGTCCCAGCGAGGCGTGCAGGTGAGGATGAGGGGTTAGAGCAGGTATGAGAGTCTGTGGTGAGGGCTCCGTGCCAGAGGCTGCCCTTATACACCGAGCCCTCCCCCAGATAGGACAACAGATGGGCTGGGTGCCTGCAAAGTCCTCTAGCCCCCGAGTTTGTGACCAGGAACACAGGATACTTGTCCTCTCCAATCCAGAGGGAGGGAGGAAGGGAGGGTGCGGCAAGAGCTCCGCAGGCACGGCCCTGGCTCAAATCCCAGCTCAGGCCCTTGTCAGCTGGTGACCGTGGGCAAGTGTCTTCCCTCTCTGAGCCTTCATTTCTCACCTGTGAAAAAACAGACAAAAACTCCTCCCTTGGAGACTGGTGTGAAAACTAAATGCGTGGTGGGGACAACTCCCATGTCCGTCCACCTGTGCACAGATGAACCAGTTGTGGCCCATCACACAGTGGGGCATCGCTCAGCCACGAAAAGGAATAACGTCTGACACGTCCTACAACACGGATGAACCTTCAAAACTTATGCTCAGTGAAAGAAGCGGGACACAACGTGCCACACGGTGCAGGGGTCCATTTACAGGAAAATCCAGAATAGAGCAAATTGGTGGTTGCTTAGGGTGGGGACGGGGGCTGGGGAAGGTGACCGCTAACGCCGGTGGAGGGTGGGGTTTCTTTTTGGGGTGATAAGAATGCTCCAAAATTGACGGTACTGATGGTTGTATGTATCTGTGAATAATTGAAAGTCATTGCATTTCACACTTTAAGTGGGTGAATTGTACGGTGTGTGAACTATATCGCAATAAAATTTTTAAAAAAGAACGTAAACCGAGACTGTCGCCACGCGATAAATCTCGGTTGAACGCACGTTGAAGGAAGAAACAAGAAATAGTGGCCTGACACAGTCTGGAGGTTGGGGCTGGGGGGTCAGCTGGGATGTAGCCCCAGGTCTGGTCCGCTCTGAACCTCCCGATCGCCACAAGAAATAGTGGCCTGACACAGTCTGGAGGTCGGGGCTGGGGGGTCAGCTGGGATGTAGCCCCAGGTCTGGTCCGCTCTGAACCTCCCGATCGCAGGATACGGACGGGGAGCTGGATGATCGATCGGCAAAGACCTACGGGCCGGGCGTCAGTTCGCCCAGGGCAGTGGTGGCTGGTGCCTTCGTCCCGGTAACCGTGGGTAGCATCCCCTGCGCTCTCCCAGGAACCCAGCTGGGTGACGCCTTAACCGGGCACCTGTCTGTCAGCGCCGCCTGCATACCTAGCCCTGAGAAGTGCTCTCCCCCAGCACAGACTCTCCTCCTCCTTGGACGGCCACAGTCCAGCCGTCCTAAATCCTCCTCGCACCCCTCGTCACCCTCGGACTACAGCACGCCCCTCCTGACCCCCACCCACGTCTCCATCACCCGTGAGATCCCTCCCCTCCCTAGACGGTTCTTCGTCCTCCTGGCCTTCGTCCACTGGCTCCATCCTCTGGGCTCCACGATGGCGCTCCCCTGGTGAGGCCTTCCCTGGCCCCTGTGCTCGTGGCACCTCTACCTGGTTCGTCATTTTTACATAACTTTGCTTGTTGCTTGTAGCGGGTGCTCAGGCCTGTCCCTAGTGGACTTTGTGACCCACGCGGACCAGGGTCCCCCCTCATACGCATGGCTTCTCCCCAGGCCCAGCCCGGGGCCTTGCATACAGGTGCTATTCAGTGTTCATGGTAGTGGTTCTTAAGAGCAGGCTTCAGAGTCACCTGGGGAGCTTGTTAAACACACATTGCTGAGGGCCACCACCCACATTTGACTCAGTAGGCTTGGGGTGGGGCCCAGGATCTTACATTTCTAACAAGACCCCAGGGGATGCAGAAACTCTGGTCAGTTCTCCACACTCTGAGAACGGCTGCAGCTGTCCTGAACGAATGAGGGACGGACACCCCTGCCCCTATGTTCTAGTTGAGGAGTTAAGGCTTGTCCTGGAGAAAGTGTTAAAAATCCTGAATCAGACACCCAGGCCCAAGATGGCCCCTGGGCAGGGGTGGGGAGGGGTCAGGGGACTTACCACCGTGGCCAGCTTCCTGTCTTCCGTGTTGTATGTGCAGGAAGTGATGAGCACATCCCCCTGTCAACAAGCCAGCAGATGCCATCAGCACCTGCCCACCTGAGGTTAGCAGGTGCACCAGGCCCCTCCCACATTGGCCGAGTCCTGGAATATCCCTCAAACCGGGTCACGAGCTGACTGTCCCCAGGGAGTTATTACCCAGAGGCTCCTGTGGCCCAGTGGGCACCAGCCCATCAGGACACGGGCCACAGACAGGGCCCGGCACAGTAGCTGTGTGGGCTGGTTATGCCACAGCTCAAGGGTGAAGGTGGGCAAGTCCCCACCCGGGCCTGGGTTTTCCCTTCTGTGCCATCTGGGGCTCCGTGGGCTCCTCAACACCGCCATCTCTCTCTGAGCTCTCAGCTGATCAAGCCAGAGGACGCACGCATGTCAGGGCGCGTGCCTCCTGATGTCCCTCCACGAAGCCACACGTGTCTCACTGTGAGGCAGCCCCAGACCCCACGCCACCCACAGGGGCTCTCCACGCCTGTGCACTCTGCCCACCACCCCATCGCGCTCTCTCTCTCTCTCTCTCTCTGCTTCTGGGGCGGCGCTCCCCAGGCCCTGCCGGCCACCCCACCCCGCCTGGCACTCACCGGGTGGACCGACACGACCCTCTTCAACATGCGGATCTCCTGGGGTAGTCAGGGCAGAGAAGAGGGACAGAAGGGGGACTTCAGAGAGCTCAGACCTGATTCCCAGCCACCTGTCCCCTTCTTTCCTCCAGACAGCCAGGCCTCCCAACCCTCTGGCGTGTGGGTTTTGCCTTGGACTCCCTGGTGGAAGCCAGGCAGGGGATGAGATTAGCACAGGGAGGCGATTAGTCAAGATGGTGTTACCGTAGGGTGCCTGGGCCCCCCAAATCCCTTAAATACCCGAGGGGCTGGCTGGCAGGTGCATACTTCATCCCTGGGTACCTGGCCTAGCCCAGGAGCGGGAACCACCCCGGGGGGGGGGGTTTCTATGGCCGTTGGGAGACAGAAGGCCAAGCAGGCCCCAGGAGGGCAGAGGGTCCTCACCTGGAAGTGGGCGCTGTAGTGATTGTCCCTGTTCACGATCTCCCTTTCTCGGCCATCCCGGGCTAGCACAGTGACCACCTTTCTCCCGGTCAGGTGTGTGTGCAGCTGAGAGGCAAAGATGTGGATCCCAGAGGGCGGCAGCGCCTGCAGGGGCAGGGTGGGGGTGTCAGAGTCAGGGCCTGACCCCCAGGGGCCCCTGACCACACCACCAGAGAACAGTGACACTAAGTCTGTTTCCCCGGAACGTCAGCGCTTTCTAGGTCTTTCTCCCTGAAGGGTTGGATGCCCCATCAGAAAACCCGGTGGGAATGAGCTGTCTCAGTGCAAGATGGTTCTGATGGCCCGAGTCTTCCAGAGCTGCAGCCTGGAGCCTCCTGGAGGCTGCTCAACTCATTCTTCACTCACACAGCAGACCCTCACGGTGAGCCCACCATGGGCAGGTCACACCAGGCTGCCCAGGTGAGCTGCAGGGGGCTGCCTTGCCCCGTAGGCTCTCTGTCTGGTAGACGATGATCAGGGAAACAGGTTGTAGTTTGCAGCACCCGCCACGTGCCAGGCACTGGGCAGGACCCTCAGCTCCAACACAGTCCGAGGCCATGTCCCCCTGTGGCCCCCACAGCCCTGGCTGTGACGCTGCCCATCCAAGCTGTTGGCCAGCCTCATGTCAAGATGCTCTGCAATGGAAGTTTCCCTCACCGAATGTTAACTTTTTTTTTTTTCCTTTTTGTCTTTTTCCATGTCCGGCAACGGATCGCAACCCTCAGTGTCGCCCCCTGCCATCTTGAACAAGCTTTGCTTGCCTGACGCTTGGGAGACTGGCACGCTGCGGGAGCCCACCCATGTGAAGAACAGATCCCAATCCTTTGCTTCATGGGAAAGGAAAACCCACCGTACACCTCACCGCAAAGCAGTCTGCGGTCGTGGGCACAGCTTTCAAAGTCAGACAGTCCAGTGCTTGAATCTTCCCTCTGCGGCCGCTGTGGGAGGCACTGTGACTTCAGCAAGCCTCAGTCCCCTCATCTGCGCAGTGGGCACGTCAGCACTTACCTTGCAGATAATTGTGAGAAAAGTAAAGACACCGTACAGGAGAAAGTGTTTGCAACGCGTACGACAGACTATGAAATATAAAAAAGAGCTTCTAGGAACTATAGTAAGAAAGACACACAACCCACTAGGAAAACTGGGTAAAGGATATGAACAGAAAAGAGCAGGTGGCCAAGGAAAGCAGATGGGAAGGTCCTCGAGCTCCACGCCAGTCAGGAATTTCAAGCCAAACAACACTGAAACGTCTTCCTCCCAAACAACCCAGAAATGTGCACAAGGCCCCGAGGACGGAGCTCCCCGGGATTTTCCACCTGGGCAGCCCCCTTGCCTCACCTGGGACCACCCAGGCAAGTACATGGTGAAAACCCCCACGCCATGTAGTACTATACAGCAATTAAAATGCAAGTCACAGGACAAATTATTCAATTTGTTGAATAATTTGTAAACTATTAAATATGATTCTTTTTAAACACAAAACAAAGGGCACAGGTATTTCCATCGCCTGTAAGGGCATGTGGAAATACACAGGAAAAAAGTCTGCAGGGACGCAAAGAGCCAGGGAGTGGGTGTCTCAGGGCGAGGGGAGGTGGCTGAGAACTTCATCTTCAGCCACAGGGCCTGCAGTTTTCGCTGGCGAATGCGTGTGTACGTCACCCACATAATGAAAGCGGGCTTTAAACTGCAGCGCCCAGCCGCGCTGGCCCGTGGGCATGGGGAGTGGCGGGAGCTGCGGTGGCTGCTGGAGAGGGAGGTGCGGGTGCACCACGGCCTCTCAGCAGGGAGGCTGCCTTGAACACAGAAGAGACAGAGGGCCGTTGCGGAGCGCAGGGGGATTTCAGGTCAGGGGAGCCAAAGCTATGTCTGCCGCCCTTCCTGGGCCACCACGGGCCAGGCCTCTGTGGGGGACCAGGGCGGCAGGAGGTGTGCTGCCAGGACCAGCCCCACTCACCAGCTGGGTGCACTTGTCTGTGCAGTAGCCGGTGAGGACGAAGGCAGTCTCCCCTGGGGGGATGGCCATCACTGGCGTGTACACCAGGCCCAGCTCCATGATCCCCGCGTCGTAGCGCCGCAGCGTGGCTGTGTAGTACAGGCGGATGCCCGAGGAGTCGCGCCGGCCTGGGAGAAGTTGGGATGGAGGTGAGTGGAGGTCCTCCCCGCTGCCCGCAGCCACAGCTCAGCCTGCGGCCCCAGCTGCCCCAGCCACTGCTCAGCCTGCGGCCCCACTGTCCCCAGCCAGCAGGCGGAGCTGGTCTCCCCACACGTGCCCCCACCTGGGCATACCAGGAGCCACGGCCTTTGTCCCACACCTGGGACGCTGGGCAGACGGACTGCTACCGTCAAAGAATCAACACACCCTGCCACACTCAAGTGGAAGGAAAGAGCCATTGTTCCCACGACAACTAGTTGGATGCCAGGGAAAGACTTGGGAAGCACAAGTAAGTTTAGCAGCGCTGCTACCGGAGCTGGTGGGTGAGATGCCTGCGGCAGGTGTGGGAAGCAGTTAGACCGCTCAGAGTCAGCTCAGATGGCCCTGCACGTGCTCTCCTGCTCTCCTCCACGTGCAGAGGAACACCAGCTGGCATCGGACTGCAGGGCCGTGGCCCCAGGGTGGGGTTTGGGAAAGCGGAGGGTGGGGAACTCCCCCGGCTGCCTGGTGAGCGCATCTGCGCACTGGGGTTAGCAGGAAGTGCAGCTCGTCCTTCTTGCAGCTCGCCACGTCCACTGCTTTGAACACTATCCTGCAGCACGGAGGCAGACCCAGGGCACCGTCTACTGAGCGAACATCTGCAGAACACTCCGAGCAGGAAAGCGGCCCAAGGGACAGGGATGGCATTAGAGGTTCGGCCCCTGCTCACACATTGTCCCCATCCCACTTGGCCAACCTGAGTAGGAAAGCGGCCCCAGGGGCAGGGATGGCATTAGAGGTTCGGCCCCTGCTCACACATTGTCCCCATCCCACTTGGCCAACCATGTGCTGTGTGTTCTTGGATGACTCGCCGTACCTCTCTGGGCCTCAGTTCACAGTCAGGACTTCTTCCAAAGGAAGACTCAGCACTTCCTCTGTGCTTGGAGACTGCGTGTCTCCTGACCGTGGTTTGGCTACACCCGCCATTTCTTCTCGCAGTTTGCTATTTGGAGAGTCCATGAAGCTCCCTGTGCAGGCAGGCTTCCCAGTGGTCATACAAAGCTGATGGTCAGAGGTTCAGGGACACTGGCACCCACTGGCACATCCACACAACCGTGCATCCTCCAGAGCCCTATCCCTCCTGCAACACCACGCTAGTGAATCAGTCAGTAACGGGCTGCTGAGCACGGGGCTGGGCCCATGGGGAGGGCGAGAGGTGTTGAAAGGACTGGCCATGGCCCCACGCGGGACGTGGACAGGCGTGGTGTGTAACTGAGGGGCATGGACCACTCAGCCAAGGGTGGGGAAGGATTTCAGGTGGCGAGGAAGGTGACATGGGCACAGGGATCTGACTCACATGGGCAAGTCTTCTGACAAAGATGAAGCAAGAAGAGCCAGGAGCAAAGTCCTGGTCACAGGAGAGAAAGAAACAAGCTCAGAAAACCAGCTGGGACAGACGGCCTGGTGACCCACGGTCCCCTCACAACAGGGAACCCTGAGATGGGGAGTGACTTTATCTTCGTGCCGTTCTGCTCTTTTGGTTTTCAACAGCGTATTTTTGCCTTTTTTGATAAAACAAACCAGAAGAGAGCCGGGCCGACAACAACGTCTTCCCTGGGTGCCAGAAATTGTTGAAACATAACTAATCACCTTCACAAAAGCTTTGCACGGTGAGAATCATCGTCCCCAATTGACAGATGAGGAAACTGAGGACAGAACCCGAACCGCAGGCTCTGCCCAAGATCGCGGGTCTGGGAGGTGGCCCAGTGGGATTCGAACCCAGGGCCGGTCGACTGGGACGCAGGGCACGGAGCTTTGGGGGAAGCCAAGATCACCTCTGGCCTGTGTCTTGCTCACTCCCTACAACTCCCAAACTCAGACAGCTTCCGTGTCTCTGGGCTGATGACATCAGAGGATAAGAATAAAAGGGGAGATGCAATTGGTTAAAATTCAGATGGGGGTTAAATAATGAAATAATTGTGGGATTTTGATATTTATAGAAAAGCAACCCATCTCAAGATGTGTGCACTGACAGGAGCATCCTTATATTTGGCCAAGGATCCATAAATACAACCAGATAATCAGGAAGAGACAGACCTTCCCGGTACTTAAGGAGTTTTCAAAATCCATTCGCTTCCAGGTTTTAAATGAGCAATAAATCCCCATCATGCTAAGGCCCGTGCTGACTTATTCCCTTCTCGGTGCATGTTGTCGATAATTCCAGCAGTGACAGAAAATATTTCTCATGCAGCCTGGATGAAAATCCCTGGTGACCGTTCGTGGAGCGCAGCCCTGCACCCACTCGAGCCGGGAGGGAGATGTTCACAAGCTCTTCCCGCCTCACCGCAGCTGTCGGAGGCGAGAACTCGGGCTGAGGCTGAGCTCCCCCGCCCCCGGCCACCCAGCTGGCGAGGAGCAGGCTAGGACCTAGCCTGGAGCCGATGCTCTTATCTATCAGCTTGCACAAACGAAACTGTGCCACTCAAAAAACAAAAAGAGTGGGAGATACTGGTGAAACAGAGAGAGGGAAACGTTTCAGCTTCTGGTATGGTGTCAACTGGCATTGCCGTCCTCAACGCCGACTCTGGTTGAGCCACCTTCAGGCACGGGGTGATCCAGCAGCCCCCACTGTCTGCCCTCAGCATCCCTTCCCGTCCCCTACACTGCAGCCGGGCTGGACTGCCTGTGTTCCTGGAACATGCTCTCCACTTGTCACCTCCCTGTCCACGCGCAGACTATGCCATCTATCTGGAGTGTGGCACCTGGAAGCTTCCTGTGTGAAAGTTCGTCTCGACCTCCAAGGCCCATGTCAAATGCCACCATGATGCAGTCCACGCCACCTGGACTCTTGTCTTTTTGCACATCCTTGCACGTTGCTTGCATGTCCCTCATGCACGTGCATGTGTGCGTGTGTGCACGCCTGTGTCTTATGTCCCTTCCAGAAGCTCCTGGAGGGCACAGACGTGTCTTGCTCATTGTGCTGCTCCCCTCTGAGCCTGGAACAACAGCTCTCACTCGGCAGTCCCTCCATAAATGCCGATAGAGATAACACCCTTTATCTGTGTTACCACGTGGGGAAAGCAAGAGGAAGGAGGTAAACAGGAGTGGTCCCTGCCCCCGGGCACCCCTGAGCTAAGTCGGGTGGCATGGGCTGCTGTCTGAACACTCAAACTCACGACCAGGACGAGAGCCCAGGGAAAGATCCCTTGATTCAGCGCCGTCATCTCCTGGCAGGGTCACCACGAACAGGTCGTTTCACCCTTCTGGACCTAAGGTCTGGCGTGGTAAATTGGGGACCAAGACGGCCATCCTGCATGCCTCACAGGGGGCTGTGAGCATTTGTCTTTGCTGAGAGTAAAGTGCTTACAAACCCAACAGCACTAAGTCACCTACTCCTCCAGCACCCAGGGCAGACATCGCTGACCAATGACAGCACTGCCCTGCTGGGATGGTCCACAGGGGAGCCCCGTGAGCAAAACCCATCTGCCATCCCTGACACACACACGTGTCGGAAAATCCCATACACACACTTAGGGCACTCGTTCACTCTTCTGGAACGTGTCTTGAGAAGCATGAGGAAGCTCACAGCCAGGGATGCCCCCAGTTGGGCCAGAACCCCTCCCTTCCCCTGAGGACAGCTTGGGGGACAACACCTCCCGAAGGTCAGACCACCAGAGGGGGTGTCAGGTGGTTTCTGGGCAGGAACCACTGCTGGCTCTGGAATGGCCTGTCACCCCACCATCCTGCCAGCTGTCCTGTCCCAGCCCAGCCTATTCTGGGGAGGGCAGAGCACAGCCCATGGGCACTGGCGGGTCACCCCACTGGGGAGGAGCAGTCGAGGACGAGGGGCAGCTGCTGGTCTGAGCAGCCTGGCAGAAGTTGGACCTCCACGGGAAACGGCCTCTGGGGCCCCACTCCAGCCCGAGCCTCTCTGCACTCCCTGACCGCATTGGAGAGCACACCCTGGACTTCACGGGAAACGGCCTCTTGGGCCCCACTCCAGCCCGAGCCTCTCTGCACTCCCTGACCGCATTGGAGAGCACACCCTGGAACTGGCTGCCGGCTCTGGCTGGCGCTGCAAAGTGGGGTGGGGGTGGGGGGTGGGCTGCACTGACTCAGACTAACCCAGCCTCTAAGTGAGTCATTAGCAGGAGAGGTGGCACAGCAGGGAATCAGGCTGGTCATGCCAAGTTCAAGGCTACGTGACTACGGCTGTGGAGATGGCCCGGAGCCAGACCTCCCGGTTTCAAATCCCTACTCACCCCATGGTCCTGGAGGTCTCTTCACCTCTGGGCCTTCATTTGCTTATCTGCAAAATGGGGACTCAGGAACCTCTCCCTGTCCCCTCCCAGGTGGGTGGTGCCTGGGACGGTGCCATGTCGAGGGACAGGGGGAATGTTGGTGAGGTTGCTGGGCCCCACCACATGCAGGCCACTGCTGGGCCCAGGGATGCTGTGATGAGCCAGCCCCAGGCGGCCCTGCCCCCGGGAGCCCACGGTGGTCAGAGAAGACGGGCGGTGAGCGAGGGGCGTGCGGGGGGCACTCGAGTGCCGTGTGCACGATGAGCCATGACAGGGAGGCTCAGGCTGGGGTGGGGTGCCGCGCTGCGCAGACACCGGGCACCAGCCTCTCCCTGACTTGACACGGCCGAGCCCAAGCGTATCCGAGGGGAGGACAGAGGCAGGGCCTGGGAAGCGCACTCACGGGGCTGCCCTACCTTCTGTCTTCAGCGGGTTGTGGTAGTGGACCTCCAGGCGGAGATATCGGGAGGACCCAGATCCCCCGAAAGCAAGGCCAGCTTCCTCGGGGTAGTAAAAGGCCTGCGGGGCAGCAGATTGGAATGACACTGTCCTGCTGACAGGCAGCTTGTGTCCAACCCACAAGGACGTCCTATTAGCCTCGGGGTCAGGGAATGGGGGAGGGGAGCTGGTGGAAGAAGAGCTGGTGAGACCCCTGTGGACTTGCCCTGCCCCCAGCCAGCCCCGGGACCACCCCGTGCACAAACGCTCCCATTCCAGGGGGATGAAATCAGTGCCCAGGCAGCCTACTTGGGTTTTTACAGAAAACCAACAAAGTCTGGGAGAAGCCCTCAGGGCCCAAAAGAACGGTGGGTTTCAGACTGTAGAGGTGACTGGGGGCTGTTTGGGGCACGGGCCCTTTTTGATGGCCTCATGAGCACCCTTGGGAGCACCCTCCTGGGGCTTCTCAGGGAAGCTGGGGACAGAGCCTGGAAAATCGGCTGGAGTGGAGGGCGCTGCACGCACCTTGGCGCCCAGGGCCCAGGCGGCCAGCACGTGGCGGCAGTAGTTGAGGCGCTCGGGCTTCATCTTGGAGTCGCAGGGCCCGCTGAAGTGGGGGAAGCTCTCGAACTCGGCGGCACACTGGAAGACCTCCATGTGGTGCACCAGGGCCTCGTTGCCCTTGGTGATGATGGGCTCGTACTGCAGAGAGACTGCCCTGAGCCTGGGGGCCGACGCCCGCCCACCCACTCCCCCCATCCCTGCAGGCGGGGGGCTCTGGCCCAGCAGCTCCCCTCCCTGGGCCTCTGTTCGCCCATCTGTAAAATGGGAGGGGTGCAAAAGGCAGTTTCCTGAGGCACTTCTGGGGATGGGAGGGTGGAGTCACCAATCCAGAGCCAGAGAACCTGCTAGAAGCCCTTGAAGAGCTCCAGAGTGAGGGAGTGAGGACCAGACAGGCCATTTTCTGATGAGGTGGGACAGGAAGGCAGCTGTCCTCACGCGGTTGGGGCAATGGTTGGGCAAGGATGACAGGCCCCTGGAGCTCCACTGGGAGGCAGGATAGTCCTGAGGATAGAGGCTGTGTCCCAAGCACACCGTCAAGGCCAGGCCACTTCCTGCGGTGTGACTTTGGACATTCACATCACCTCTCTGGGCTGCACTGCCTCTGCTGGAAACAGGGACAATTCCTGGAGCTGGCACCATTGTGATGAATGGGGTAATCCCTTGCCCTTCCCCTGGGGCCAGGCACACAGTGGACATCCAACACAAGTGTCACTACGATGTATCTACCAGGGGGATATTAGAGCAATTGAGTTCTAGAGCTCGTCCAAGCAGGACCGTATGCAGCCCTCCGAGTTTGGGGACCACAGGAACCCCAGGTGGAAGGCAGAGCTGGGGTGAGGACCGGGGCCTGGACCCCCATGTACCATGACGATGTGGCGTCGGGGGAAACCGGCAGGGAGTTCGGTGATGTAACACCAGTACGTGGTCTCCTGGCCGGGGATCAGGACATCAGGGGCGTGGATCTCCATGGTCTGCGTGTCTGAGGGCACTGCCGGGATGGGGACGTCAGGCTTCAGCAGCTGCACCCTCTGCAGCCCCGTGTGCAGGCCCGAGGTGTTGATGGCCTCCAGTGACTGGAACGGCTCCTCCAGGAACCCGTACACCAGGTGGACAGTGCCGTCCTGCAGCCGGAAGAGGGCCCAGTCAATCGCCCGCTCAGAGCCCCCCAGAGTTGGGCCCCTTGGTAACCAGAGGGGATGCCATGTCCCTGCCCACCCATGCCAGCAGGCAATACATCTTGCTCTCATCTCTGCAAACGAGGGAACCTGTGAGGCTGTGCATGGCCCCAACTGGGATTAAACCCCAGGCTGACAACCCCAGAGCCCCCCCATTTGCACCTTGCATCAAACACATTGTCTTTCTCAATGCATCCTGTATGCACTTGCTTGGCATCCATTCAACTAGCAACTCCTGGCCCCCCACGAGCCCAGCAGCTGAGACATCTGCTTCCTGAGACACCAGCTGAGACACCAGCCCAGGGTCACTGGGAACAGGGTCTGGGGTCATCTCCTCTGACCAGATCAGCCCAGCCTGAGGAGTCAACACCCCCTATAAGATGAGAGAACCAGACTGGGGCTTCCGGACAGTGACACTGGACTGGTGGAGCTGTTCTGTCCAATACGGTCACCACCAGCCCTGTTAGCGCCAGACCATGCGGGCATAGGAAGTTCTAAGGGTCAGCACTGGGCTGGAGGTTACAGACAGGCTCACGGGTGGAGGCTGGGCTGGCTTTCTCACACTGCTGTTAGTGGAAGCCAGCGTCCAGGGGTAGGACATGGTTCTGGAGGTGTGCTGTGCCATTTCTGGGCACCTGTGGATGGGCACCTGTGGTGGTGGCTAATTTGCTCTCTGCATTTATGGGGACCCCATGAGCTGCTGTAGAGGACACCTGAGAGTCCCAGGCAGGCTTCCCCACCCCCGCAGCCTGGGGGCTCGGCCTCCCTGGGATGTCCTTCCAGAGAACAGACAGGCCGGCAAGGAGGCTGAGGATGCAGATCAGCTAAGGGAAGGAGGTCATCTCTTGTGGCTCTGGCTCCTCCCTGGCGTGCCATGAGCCCCCTGGACATGCTGTCCTCTCTCTCATCTCAGGCTCTTCATCTGGCAAACCGCCAGTTGTTCTGTTTTCTGAGATTCTGTATTTGTCTGTTTGGCATCCATTAATTAATTACAAATGAACGGCCAAAGTTATTTATAGCTCCCCTGCAGTCCTGCTTTCATGGGTGCATGAAAATCATATTCCAACCCAGCACCCCCTCCATCTAACTCCCACATGCCAAGTGACAGCGCCCCTGCCCAAAATCACCCCAGCGCCATGAACCAGGCAACTAGGCACCCCCCATAGCCCAGAGCCCGCTGGAATGGTTTACACTAGCCAGTCCTCAGCTGTCCCCTGCCCTGCTCTGCCCTTCCCCAGGAAGCCCCAGTAAAGTCTCCAAAGGCTCCTGCCTCTGCCTCCTGACCAAAGCTGGCGTGGCCACACGACCAAAGCTGGCATGGCCACAAGGCCTTGCGTGGCAGGCGTGGCGTGCCCCTTCTCTCAGGAAACGTAAGATGTCTTCCTTCAATGGCTAGCTTCTCCACACTGTCACTCAGCTATGTCCATACCTGAGTACAATGACCAAAGCTGGCGTGGCCACAAGGCCTTGCGTGGCAGGCGTGGCGTGCCCCTTCTCTCAGGAAACGTAAGACGTCTTCCTTCAATGGCTAGCTTCTCCACACTGTCACTCAGCTATGTCCATACCTGAGTACAAACTGCTGCGTGCCCCGACCACAGTAAAGGACAGTGTGAGGCGATGCCTGTCAAGGCACACTAGCAAATAAAGGTGCTGTCTCAGGGCAAGGCAGCCTGGTTTTCCTAACTGGGAGGTCTTGGTGCAGCGTAAGGAGACTATGATTCTTTGGACCTGTTTTGTGGCATGAACTTCTGGACAGAGCTGGTTGGGTCTCACAGATCATTTAGATCCTGTCTCCATTTTACACACAGGCAAACTGAGGTCTGGAGGAGGAAGGGAGCTGCCCCCAGCCTCATGGCAAGTAGGAGATGAGACTGGGTTGGGAAGCCAGATCTCCTGAGCTCTTCCCAAAATTCCACCTGAAGATGATGGGACCAGGAGGAGAGAAATGTACAGGAGCGAGGTCTAGTGGCAGCGTGAGAGGGCTCCGGAAGACCTGCGTCGAGAGGCTGCGTCAGCTACGTGTCAGCAGAGAGCTGCTTCTCTGAGGGTCCAGGGAGCAGAGCTGGGCCCTCCCAAACTGCCTCAAAGCCACCCAGCTGCCTCCAGGCTACCGTCCTTGGCTTTCTCTCTGTGCACACCTGGCCCAGGCCCAAGCCCCGGACTTCCCAGGGACAGGAAAGGGCCTGACACTGGCCCAGGAGGCACACATGGGCACTCGGGGACACTGCCTACCTCAATTAGGTAATCCTTGGGGTCACAAGTGCTGAAGGGCCTCTTGAAGAGCAGGGACAGGCCTTCAGGGGTTCTCTGTGCCTGCAGCAGCTGGTAGTCCTGCTGGGGGTCCAGGTGGATCTGCCCCCTCTGGTCACTCCAGGCATCCTGCAGAGACAAGCACGAAGGGCCCGTCCTAGGGACAGAGTGCAGTGGGCACCTTTCCCTGCCTGAGCCTTCTGAGACCTCGCCAGGAGTGGGAACCGGGCCTTAGACAAATACCGCTCCCATTCATCTAGGAAGGAGGGGTCGTACAGAGCATGGAGCCTTGGAAAGGGGAGAAGTCCAGACAGGGGTAGCCAGGGAGGCAGGAGAGAAGCCAGGACACAGTGTTTAAGGTGGCAGGCACTCCCAGGTGCCCACCAGGCACGTGCACAACCCTGAGGGTGAGCGTCACCTTAAATGCTGTACTCTAAGCATCTCTCACCTCACACTAGCGCCAGCCTTGCTTGGAGAGGGTAAACTGAGGCCCAGGGAAGAAACAGACCTGCTGCACTTTTTCAGGACATTTCTGGGATCTAGATGACCTGCCCTCCATCCTCCCCTATCCCCAGCTGCCTTCCCTGCAGGCACCCGACGCTAAGGTGTGGCGCAGAGGCCCCAGGACAGCGCACGGCATTGGCCTGGGAGCAGGGCTGTGGGGAGGGCGGGAGAGCCTTCCCCAGTAAGCAGGGCTCTCTCCACGTTCCAAAATACCACGAGTCGTTTGCCTTAAGGATTTGTGGTTGTGTTTCTTTTTAATCCTACATCCAGGGCTAAAACATGTTTTCTTCATTTCCTTGAGAAAAAAGAAACCTGCAAATGATTTTGCCAAATTTTCCCTGGAGAAAAGCAACACAATGGAGTCCCTGCTGGGGGACACTGCTGATTTGCAGAAGAACTAATTTTAACCAGAGGCAGAGAGTTAGCTTGTGGTATTTCAGCTGGAAACCTAGAGTATGTGAGCTGATTGCCGAAGGAGGAACGACTGAGTCTGACATTTGCTTTCATAGGAATTTGTTGTGCGTTAATCTCCAGCGCACAGAGCGGTGCAGTCACTGCCTCCTCAGCAGCTGGAAACGCAGAGGAAAGGCTGCCTGGAGAGAAGCAAACTCTCCCAGACCCAGGGTACAGCGGAGTCGAGGCTTACAAACAACTCCGAGCTGTGAGCGACAGGGTTCCGCTGCTCCTCTGGACAGCTCAGAACCGGGGGCTGACCCTGTCTGTCTTAGCTGTGACCCCCCAAGCTTAGGGACTTGCTGGGTGTCTTTGTGCACAGGAGACAGTGCAGCCCAGCAGGGCCTTAACCAGGCAGCTCTGCCTCATCCCACCTGGGTGTCCCTAAGCAAATGGCTCTGGCCGGCCCAGCCTCGGTGCCTCACCTGTGAAATAGGTCAAGTGCCTGCCCAGACCCAGCTGAGCTCCAGAAATATCAGCCACAACAACCCGAAATGGTGGAGGGGGAGTGGGAGCGTGTGCTCTCCCTTCAGACGATGATGCCGGAGCCGGCCGCCCGGCCCAGACTCCCCTCCCAGCGTCCAGCTCTGTGCTCCTGGGAGACTCCCCCACTCACTGGAGTAAAAACCCATTCCTCACAAAGAAAGTGCCTCCTGAATTGAAGGGAAAAAAAAAACCCCAAAACTTTGCCCCTCCTGTGCCTGTTTCCATGGAGAGTTGGGTTTTATCCCCTGAAAGGCCTTGGTGGCTGGTCCCAACGAGGGGGGAAAGCAGGAGAGGAGACTAGGGTGGGCGCTGGGCTCTCCCTCCTCTGGTGAGCCCCCGCGGCTTGTTGAGGGGCCCCAAAGTCCAGGGTAGAGGCACATTTTGAAGGAAAGGAGTCCAGGGCCCTCCTGACTGCTGGGGCTCAGCTCCGTGGGGCTGGTTCCACATCTGGGGGCAGCCTGCGTGTGCAAGCCCAGAAGGTCCACTGTGCTGCATGCTGGCACTGGTGTGCACACACGTGTGCTGTGCTTGGCTGTGTGCCACCACCTTGCCCATGGCAGTGGATATGTGTGCACTGGGGGTGTGGCATTGTGTGTCGTCTATAAGAATGAGGGACGTGGGGCACATACAGGTGTGCGTGGGCAGTTACACTCCCTGGGACTGCTGGGTCCCATTTTGAGTGTGCAGTCAAGGACCATGGAAAGCATCTCTTTCCCGTTTTGTCCTCACATTGGCATCCCCATGTCCCAAGCTTGTGACACAGGCTGGGCATGGGTTGGAGTGAACGCAAACACTGTTAGCAACGCCACCTTTGCTGGGTTAAGCGGACAAGTGCAGGAAGGAGGCCGGGCGGGGCGCTGGGTAGGGGCGAGGTCAGGAGAGCTGGGAGGGAGGACAGACTCACCGCAAAGTAGGCACTGTCACCGTCAGTCCAGAGCACAACAAGGTCAGCATTCTCCAGCTCTCCACGGTCCGACATCCCAAACAGGACCCCAGCCCGGAGCCCCCGCACCAGGAGCTGGAAGTGCACGACCTCCTGGACATAGCTGATGTTCCACAAGAGCTCCAGGGCCCCCTCGGGGTCCAGGGGGATGCGGTAGGGGAAGGGGCTCTCGGGAGGTGCCGAGCCCTGCAGCGCAGCCACCAGGATGACCAGGAAGACGGCCACGGCTGTGCCGTACATGGAGGCGGCCTCACGCACGTTGGGGCTGGGGAGGCTGGCCCAGCGACACCGGCGGCTGGGGGCCTGCATGGCGGGCTTGAGCGCACTGGCCCCACCTGGCCCTTTATGCCCAGGCCCTCCACAGGGGTGGGTCCAGGCCTCGCCGGTAATCACATTTGTCTGGTAGGGAATTCAATTGTCCCAGTGGCCCTCCCACCAGCCCCAGCCCCAGGCCAAATGCTTTGCCTCCCTTCAGCCCCTAATTGGTGCTAATGTCACAGGAACATCTTCAGCTCTTCAGCGGGAATTGAAGCAGACCGGCTGGCTTCCTTCCTTCTGTCCGGAAAGCAGCTCCTCCCTGCAGCCAGCAGGCCTCTCAGATGCCCTCCAGCCAGGCACCAGCCGGCCACCTGGTGCAGACCCAGCACAGCTAGATGGATGGGCACACGAGACCCGGGGGGCCACGTTCGAGGTGGCCCATGAGTGACGGGTCCCTTGCTGCTGTGGGCCTGACCCAACGAGGGGAGCTGTTTCTACAGTACTGGAGGGTGGACGAATTTCAAACTAAAAATAAAAGACAATCTCCAAATAGGCCCTGTGTTTAGACACTCTCTCCACGGCCTGCTGTTCCCACTTTTGTCTCCTCTCTATTTCCCCCGCAGGCTCCAGCTGGCGCCATGGGTGCTCCAGAAGGAGTGGGCACGTCACTGGGGGCAGGCCGGGAGGGAGGTGCTGGGGGATGGGCAGGCCGCAGGGCACGTGGCTGGGGTGACAGCCTTTAAGGAAAGGAGGCGAATGACAGGCCTGAACTTGAACCCTCTCAGGCCAGCCAGCCAGCACCGTTTCTCCCATGCGCACCCCAGGGCCTTTGCACTGTCTGCCCACGAGCCCCGTGTCAGCCTCGCTGCTGCACCAGCTCGCTCCCCTCCCTCTCGTGCACAGCGGACTGACGTGGGCTGCCCCCTCCCAGAAATCCTGCTTCATCTCCCATGCTCCGACCCCCATCCCACCCCACCCCTGCACCCGACTCTCCAACAGGAAGGTGAGCCACCCTTCCTCCCTCCCACCTCCCATCCTTCGTTCTCCCTCCTCCTGTTCCTCCTTTCTCTGGAGAAACCAGGAATCCAACCTTAAGAACACGTGCACGTCGGGGCGGCACCCAGCGTTGGGTCCTCGCATGTGCACAGGGGTGGGCCTCGAGCGAGCCATGCCATCAGGCTCGTTCTGCTCTGAGCTCCGCTCCACAGAAAGGAAGGACTGTCTGCGTGAATATGAAACTGGGAGAAAGTTCCAGCCTTCTCCTGGCCAGTTCTGCTCTCTGCCACACAGCAGCCAGGCCGTCCTGTAAAGCCAAACTGGGCAGAAGAAAGAAAGAGGCAACCAAAGGCCCCAGGACGCTCCCCGTGACTGCACACAGAAAGCACCCTTCACCCCACCATGGCCCAGGTAGGTGAGACCCAGGTACATAAACCACTGGGTTGTAGGATGTGTCACTGTCGTGAAACTGCTCCCAGGCCAGGGGAGGACCCGCTTGGGAGTTCTCCACTGAGACAGGGGAGGCTCACAGGCTCCAAGGGCCTCATCTTCCAATATGGGGACACCACATCATGTCCCTCACGTGCCCACCCTCACTCTCCAAGTTATTTCCCAAACTTCTTATCTGTGCCACGTAAGCAGGCATCTGGCATTTGAGATAACAAAGTACCCAGGACATTCACTGCGGGGACCGGGGAGCGGCCACCCTGAGGTCATGATACAAAGAGCCTCCCCAGGCGGGCAGGCTGGCGCCCGTGTTCCCAGCAGATACGGGGATGCGGGCGCTGCTGGGCCCACGGCACACGCGGCTCAGGGTGAGCCTTCCCACCGGCCTCATGACAACCCAGGTGGCTCCAGCTAGAAAATGGGCAGAATGAGCACAGGCTCTGGCCCCGGGTGGGGGCGTCTCTCTCCCCTGAGAGGTATTGAGGCCCCAAGGCCCTAATTCTGCCCCTCCAGGGGTCAGCGCTCTGGGTTCAGAGCTCCCGGAGGGGAGGCAATGTCGGGCAGCTCCCAGCGCCCCAGGCCTCCGTGCCTCTCCTGGACGCAGAGACGAGATCAACAGTTGCTCAGAGCTCCAAGAAGGCCCGGCACGTGCAGCTCTCAGTAAGCTGCAGGGTGCTCTGCACGCGTGTTTATTTTTAACAGGATTCAAAGACACTCTCTCTCTCCAGCTCAGAGCTGGGCTGGAACGCCAGCCTTCCGCTCGCATTTGACAGAGATGATTCAGCTGATCTCAGATATAATAATTACCAAGTACTGCTAATTAACAGTGTTTCACTTCGTCCTCAGAAGCCTCGGGGGGCTGGGTCTGCGATTATCCCCACCTCACATGCATGGAGTTGTAGCCTCAGAGAGGTTAGGCAGCACCAAAGGTCACACAGCTATCAGGGGCAGGGCAGGCCCAGTGCCCAGGTCCAGGACCCCAAAGTGGGCACTCTTAGCCAGAGGGGCTGCACACCTCAGCAGCCAAGGTCAGAAAATTCCACTGGGGTCAAGAGGAAACGCAGCCATGGGAAGAGCTGCTGGAGCTGGGGGGGTGGGAAGGCGCTGGTCCAGTCTCCGGCCCCTCACGTTCTGCCTTGCCTTGCATTAATGGATTTTAAAAAGGAGCAATCTGACCCTGGGTAAGGAAACAGCACTCAGCTGTCCTCCTGCCCTCAGTGACACCTGCCGAGGCCCTCCCTGGGACACACACAAGTGCTGAGCCAGCCGCCTCCCTGTGGTGTCC